GTAACACCGTGTATACCGTGCAACACCGTGTATAGTGTGTAACACCGTGTATACTGTGTACCACCGTGTATAGTGTGTAACACCGTGTATACTGTGTAACACCGTGTATAGTGTGTAACACTGTGTATACTGTGTAATACCGTGTATACTGTGTAATATACCGTGTATAGTGTGTAATACCTTGGATAGTGTGTAACACCGTGTATAGTGTGTAACACCGTGTATACTGTGTAACACCGTGTATAGTGTGTAACACCGTGTATTGTGTGTAACACCGTGTATACTGTTTAACACCGAGTATACTGTGTTACACCGTGTATAGTGTTTATAGTGTGTATACTGTGTAACACCGTGTATACCGTGTAACACCGTGTATACTGTGTAACACCGTGTATAGTGTGTAACACCGTGTATAGTGTGTATACTGTGTAAGAAAGCCAACACCATACTCTCCTTATATGTATTGAATTCTGGAAGACATCGACAACTGCACAAATTTTACAACGTAAAAATATGTAGAAAAAATAACGAGAAAATATGAAAACATAGGCGTTCTGGAAGTCTAATGGTCAATCCGGGGAGGCATTGACTTATGGCGGACCCAGTGACGTAAGCGCATGTGACGTAGGCCCACTTTCAGGAATAGCCGATGCCACAACTCAAACAGGAAGTCCTGCCTTGGTGTCTTTTCTGTCGGGAGATCAGGCCATACAGTGGGGCAGACAGGATGTAAGTATTTATAGCAGCTAGTTACATCTGGTACAGTGGGGCAGACAGGATGTGAGTATATATAGCAGCTAGTTACATATCATACAGTGGGGCAGACAGGATGTGAGTATATATAGCAGCTAGTTACATCTGGTACAGTGGGGCAGACAGGATGTGAGTATTTATAGCAGCTAGTTACATCTGGTACAGTGGGACAGACAGGATGTGAGTATTTATAGCAGCTAGTTACATCTGGTACAGTGGGGCAGACAGGATGTGAGTATTTATAGCAGCTAGTTACATCTTGTACAGTGGGACAGACAGGATGTGAGTATTTATAGCAGCTAGTTACATCTCGTACAGTGGGGCAGACAGGATGTGAGTATTTATAGCAGCTAGTTACATCTGGTACAGTGGGACAGAGAGGATGTGAGTATTTATAGCAGGTAGTTACATCTCGTACAGTGGGGCAGACAGGATGTGAGTATTTATAGCAGCTTGTTACATCTGGTACAGTGGGGCAGACAGGATGTGAGTATATATAGCAGCTAGTTACATCTGGTACAGTGGGGCAGACAGGATGTGAGTATTTATAGCAGCTAGTTACATCTGGTACAGTGGGACAGACAGGATGTGAGTATTTATAGCAGCTAGTTACATCTCGTACAGTGGGGCAGACAGGATGTGAGTATATATACGTTTGTCTATCAGAATGTAATATTAGATGCCGCAAACTGTCATGAAAATAATGATGGTGGAGGAACGCCTTCATTCATAAATGAACGTATGTTATCATTTGTTTTGCAGTAGAAATAGTCTATTCCTATAGAAACAGGGAGTTTCGTACTTGTCATCTACTTACAGGATATCACAGAGACTAAAACAGTTGACTACATTACAATACTTCGGATCTTAACCTTTCCTGTTCGCTGTTTCTTTTTCTGCTTTCCTTCCTTTGTGTATATCCTGAATTGTGAGGACGTTTGACTCCGTCAAAACAAATAAATATAGCTTCTATTTCACTGATTCAGGCCAAAACCAGAAAAGCGGCTGTATTGAAGTCTTTAGGAGATTTTTGTCGGACCGGAAGCAGAAAATTGTCTGGATTACATTGAGAAGGACTGGAGTGAGGAGTCGTACATTGAGGGTGCTGTTGCAGCCGTTAGTACTGGAGCTATGCGGGAACTTCGCTTCCGGTCTTCGGGAACCGCAGGGAAGGTACTTTCTCATAAAATGTGTTTGTCAGTTGTATAGGAATCTTAATGTTTTTGTTTTCTAGAAAATACGGTGTATCGTTACACAAAAGATGTTGTTGTTCAGAAATAAAAGTGAGAATCAAGTTGTGTCTGTGGAAGTTGACGCTAGGACGGAACATTGTCTTTATATTTATTAAACAGGAAATTGGGCAGCTCAAAACTTTTATCTAAATTCTATATGTAATATATAGCGTCCTTAACCGGTTTTCCTTCAGGTTACACTTTGCCGGAGCTGAGAGTGCCTACCAATGGCAGGGATACATGTCCGGCGGGGTGCAGGCCGGTATCCGAGCTGCTACTGAAGTCTTATATAAACTCCGACCCAATACCATCTCAAGTACGGAACTGTCTGGTACCGCTTATGATCCTAACTACAGGACACCTCACCACCTCAGACAAAAAGTGAAACAATCTACCATGACTCGGACCTTGGTTGTAGCAGTTTTAGTGGGTTTGGTGGCGCTGCTGTACCGGAAGTTTGTAGGCGGAGACCTATAACTTCAGCTAGTCGAGAGATTGCGTCAGGACATTGACATTCTTTTTGACATAAAATGTTATGTAAAACGTTGTATTTTACAATACTCTGAAAATTTCTAATGATTAATGTAATTAATACGTAAAAACACTGAACGTAACAACTGCCCGGATTAACGAACATAGTCCTAATGAAACTTGAACTGTGCAAGTAGATGATTTATGTTATCAACACAAGGTCATGTGATGTGTCATGTGACTGATGGTCGTACTGACCTCGTAGTATCGTTGTGTTGACTAAGAACTATGTATAATCAATGCATGCATTACATTAATGTAACGGAAGTGTTGCCAACGACACGTGACATAACAATCTCATTTCTGTTGTATGAAGTACTGATAAACGTAAAATATGATTTTTGTTCTAATTTGCTGTATTGTGTATTCAGTCTGAAAGACACTATTAACTTTTTGTGTGTAAATATGTTAGAATTATTTGAATGTGCCTGAATGAAATTCGTTTTGCTTGTGTGATATGTAGCCTTTTTATAAAACAAATTAATTACAGACTTTCACAAACAATCACTTAAAAGTTAAAATTTATTATTAAAGTTTTATTAAAGGCATGTTTCATGTTGATTTATACTGAAGGAGAAATCTAGACTTCAGTTTCTGTAATATATGAACAGGAAGTGATTATGTAAACAAGGGAGATTAAAGGGTGCTTCACCGAGGCCGACATTTTGTGTAGAAGATTTATAGTAGCTGAGCTGAGCCTGTATGCCTCGTGTTTACTTATTTGAACTTTTGGCACAATTCAGGATATACAATTTATATATTTACATTTACACAAGCTGAAATCAGTCAATATTGAAATTATTCAATTAAAGCACATTTCGCAAATTTGGATTTTTGTCAGTCGCCTTCTTGACTGCATCAGTTTAGACACTATGCATTACTGACGAGTCCTAGAACAAAGCATTTGAAATTGTATAATACAGTTTTTTTCTCGTTCTTGAACTCGTCAGTGATTCTAACGTTTGAAGCCAAGGAGACGAATGTGCAGTAAGGTGCTCGAAGGAATGGTGTATCTGTTAAATGTGTATTCTCCAGAAAATACAATGTTTTATCACATCATGTTGTTAGTTTTAAGACACAATCCAGACTATCGCTCATAATTCTTAGATCAAGAGTTCTGTGCTTTACACAATCAGGGATACCATATCTTTATTCAAAAGAAGCACGGTATTACATACAACGTATCCTTGAAAATCTACTTTAAACTTCGATAATTAGATAGATCATACTTTGCCAGGACCGAGAGTGTAACGCAATGGCTATGATATATGTTGATACATAACGGTATACAAACTAAATGAAAGTCTTGTGTATCAACTCCGACCAGGCGCCGTTTCCATCTTTGAAGTGTCCGGCACCGCTAACAGTTCTTGATACCGGGAACCTCACCAGCTGAAACAAGTCAACATTATCCGCCGTTTGGTTACAGAACATTTAGTCTACATAATGGAAATTCGTAATGGTGTTTCGAAAAAAGCCACCAGATGATTCCTGAAGGGTCTGTCTAAATGAAGAAGCGCACATTGGTAACTCGGAGAAAACCCCGGCAGTACTTCATTGAATTGTCGATTCTAACGTCAGTCTGTTACGTTTAAATGATCAACAGACATGACGTTTTCGTTGCGTCATCACGTGATTTTATCAAATAATATTGTAAGTAAAGAAACCGTTGTGATGGTGTAGGTAAGTCCATCATTTACAAAATATCTTCGGATTTTACTGCAACCTTGAAAATAGAGATACAGATAAGCTGGGTGTTTTACGTATAAGTGTTATTCATATCAAACCTGGAATATATTACATTATAGTAGACACAGGAACATTTGTATTATTTTGAAACAAAATCTTCAGATTTTAAACTCGTTACGTTTATTGAATCAGGTACTGTAACATACCAGAAAATTTCCCTCACAAGCCACATTTAATTAATTTTGAAAAATGAAAAATTCTCAAAATGTTGGTTTCACATTTAACAATTAATAAATATCTAGACAAGACACCGCCATATCTATTGTCAATGCTAATAAATAAAGTCAATCTTAAAAATTGAGGTAAAAATGACATTGTAATGGTTTTATATTTTGCTTACAAATTGACATAATTGCAAAGCGGGACAAGCCAGACATATCATTACAAGTTATTTTTGTCATCGATTACGCAGGCGGACGTACGATAAAATGGAGATTATGTGTTAAGCATGTTACCTGTAACTACTGTCATTGGATTTAAATGATGGACTTGATTTGTTGTATTTCTTATGTAAAAGTCGATAAAGTCTAACTTCAAACGTACGATGCAGTTTTGTAATATAGATCTACTCTGGAGACCATCTAGAAACAATAGATTTTAATTTAAATGATTTTCCTCTGCTGAACCCCTTAAGAGCAATGACCTTTAAACCGGAAATGATATTGAACGGTAAACTGTTTCAGAAATAGCAACTAAGTTAAATGTTTGTACAGCTCTTCTCTACCAATCTTTCAGATGGAGAAGCAGGTAGATGTGGCAGTTGTCGGCGGAGGTATATCAGGCCTAACAGCAGCTTATTACCTCCACAAAAAGGATCCATCGTTAAAAATATGTGTTCTAGAGGCGAAAGGTAAGGTAACCGAAGTGAATGTGAAAGTACGTTGTACAGAAAACAGTGTTACTAAGTATGTTATAGCTGAGAAAGTGCTGGCTTGTTATTTGTGAAAGACATACAATTCGTCCTTTGTAAAGTCACAATTAAATGGACAGAGTAGTAACAAGGTAGATCTACAACAGGTACAATGTCGGCTGATATCAGCTGAGTGTACATAAGTCGATCGGGGCCCACTGGGGGAAACGGAGGATTACGCTGATAGCGATCAAAAGAATCGTAGTTTTATTTTTGTTTCAAAACAAACGTTCAGGAAGATTTATATTTCAGGGTCTAGGTTATCTTTCCTGTGATGATGTGTGAAACGTTTTTTCATTATTTTTTTCCAGACAAGATAGATAAAGTCAATCATTAGTACACTATTTTGAAATTTCGGTAAATATTTACGGTTTAGAAACCAACCAAGTAAGTATTTGTTCTTTATTAAAGTCGACATAAAAGGTATGTTTTCTTTCACCTTTTGACATTTAATAACGTGATTTCAAATTGTTTGACTTATTATGTCCGCAGATCGTGTAGGCGGACGGACCCTGACACTTTCCCTCCAGAGTAGAGATGGTACCGACTACTGGGACCTAGGCGGACAATGGGTTTCTAGGTATACCGGTGTAGAATGGAAATGTGACCCCTAATTATATCGTACCTCGAAATTCAGATCCGCAAGTATTAGTATACTGCACAAGATGTCTACATTTTAAACCAATTTTCATTTGGTCGGCGGAACGCATGGGTCTGATATTGACAATACCAACATATATATTGATTTCTTTATTTTAAAATTAATAGATCACAGACAGACATCATGGACTTAATTAAAGAACTTGGATTGGAAACTTACAAACAGTTCACTGTCGGGTCAAAGATTATGCAGATTGAGAGTGAAATAGTCAAAAGTTACAAGTCTGATATTCCGTCGCTTTCATTGTTCGCTCTTGTTGATCTTCAGTGCTTTATCATGAAGGTAAGAAACGCGCGGCGCAATTTTTTATTTAAAGATATCTAAAATTTTGCAATTGTAAAACCTCATTCCACACGGCTAAACAAAAGCTTGTTAAAATTCTGGCAATTTTGATATATTTCATTGCACCATGCGGGCAATTTCAGTCGGCAATATGGGTGTAATGTCATATTTCATTTGATCATTCGCGAATATTTGACGTCATATATCGGTTGACCACGCTGTTAATACTTGTAATTTTGACGTCATATCCCGTTGTGCCATTCTTGAACATTTCCCTATTTCATTTTTCAAATGACTATTAATTTATTCCATGGCGTCTTAAGAACATCCTCCTCTCAATACATATATATGTAAAAGGTTTCAAAAAGTCCATGTTAAGTAACTTGGGTCCTTGTGTTCTTTATAAACGAGGTCATGAGACATATCTACTCCGTTTCAGTAGTCAACTACATTTTAACCCAAGAGACAGTCTATTTCATTTTACCTGTAGTTTGAAAAATAATTGAAACAAAAATATCTGAATATTATCACTTCTTTCCATTTACCTTATTGCTTTTATGAGAGTGATATGAAAACGTAAAGTTTATGTGCAAGTGTACAAGCATCCGTATTGTTGCTCTTCTAAAAAAAAACAAAAAACAAAAAAAAAAAAAAAAAACAAAAACAAAACAAAAAAGATATGTCTAGACCAAACGTGATTGGTGTCGAAAATGTTTTATTCTAACATATATTATCTTCTCTACAATAGCTCGACATTTCACACTAAATTATTTTAAATATTGACGTTTTAACCGGATATTGCCCTTATTTCATTGTCACTGTTATATTTGTTACAGGAAGTTCTAAATTGCCATATTTGAATTTCTCTACCGTTTTTCATATGATATGCGTGACGTCATGATATAAACAAACACGACATCGCGATCAGTAATTAACATAATGTTTACGATTTACGATGAAAAGCTGAATAAACTCACAAAAAAATAAAGGCAAAAACTAACAAACTTACACAGAAGACTGTAGAGCATTTTAGGATTTAAGAGATAAACATATTCAGTGTTTTTTCTGTTTGGTACGAACAGGTAGAACGGCTCCACAAGCAAATTGACACCAGGGACCCGTATAACTGCAGCAGAGGCGAGGAGTGGGATACCAAAAGTCTGGAGACCTTCCTTAAGGAATCGTTATGGACACACGGTCTGTATAATTCCTCACTTCACACCACTGCCAGTTGTGCATTGCTTTGTTTTGTAAATAAATGAAGAAAAGTCAACAATGAGATATTGTGAATTAAACTGTATCATACAGTCCTTATAGGACTCATCAGGCAAGCTAAGGGCAGAAATCAATAGAAAGAGATGACAGAATCAGGCCACGAAGGCGCATTAGCGAACAAATAATGTTTATTTAATCTTAATTCGGAAACCGGGTGCATCGAAAGTTCGAGTGTCTGCTTCGTCACTGTTGGTTTTAAGACGTTAAGTGAGTCAGATTTGTTTTGGAAGATGCAGTGTCAATCTAACAAACATATACGGTTACTTTTCTTTAAAGTAAATTACTTCACAGCCAGTGAATATAATAAAACCTCTTAATCTACCTTCACAGAAGACGTCATTAACTCCACACACATTTTAGACATATACAATGGCGTTGTTACAATGAATCGTCTAATCCGTTTATAGTTTTAATACGATGTGCAATAAAGATTTACACGAAGACTCCTGAAAAAGAAGAGAAACCGACGATGTGTTCCAGAAGGGTAAGCGTCTTCTAAAGCGTCGATGACATCAGTCACGTAAATGTAGGTCAACCCAAGTGATGTCACGATTCCAAAAAATAACAGGGTAAACAACAACGAAGTCATTAAACTAAAAGAACAACAAACACGTCAGACATCATATCGTATTGTAAAAAAATCCATTTGAGATAATTACAGAGACCGGATTTTTTTTCATTGTCTTCATTAACCTGCATCTCTCCATATCATTCTTAAGCTTAAGTAAGATTATATATCATTCATGGCATCTTACACGGCAATCGTGATATTTTGACCAAGCAATATTCAAATTAACTACGACATCCACACATCACAGGCTGAGGAAAGAGGAGTGTTGCCATGCAGAAAAAGACGTTCACAATAGGAAAATTGAAATCAACACATTGTCAGCAGCTTATGTAAAAAAAGTCACGTTCTTGATTTCCAAATCTTACGGATATGTACCTGGGACTTGGAGAGTAAACTTTTCTTGTTGTTTAAAGACAAGACGTCATCGCAGAGTGACGTTTGATAAGCATTTCGATGAATTCAACCTGGTATAAAAACAAGTCAGCAAAGAATGGTATGCCAGTTGTCCGATGGAAGATCGTTCGAGCATTAGATTTTGTCATCCTTAGAGTTCTTCTCCGATTTGGACATTTCAAAACAAACCTGTGATTGTTACTTTTTAAAATAGTTGTAAGAATCTTTGATGAAGGTCTAGTTGAACAGGTAGACGCTGTTTATATATGTATACTCGTAAAGATTTGTTATCCTATATAAACGAAGGAGGTCCGTTTCTATCTCGTTAAAAGACAACCTGATTAGGAAGATTAAGATTAGTTGAACAGATAAATAGGAAAAAACGACCATGTAAGGGACTTTAACGCTGTCTATGTGATCTTGTAAGGGTCCATAACTCCATATATATATATATATGATTGTGTAAGGGACCATGACTCAATTTGTAGGTGCATACGAGACAATAGCGGCAGCCATTCGCACTACCGTTACCATGGAACCAGCTCAGATATCTACGCTCTACTTCTTGACACTAGTGGCATCAGCTGGTGACCTTATGACCCTTTTTGAAGCAAAAGAAGATGCCGCCCAAGGTTTAAAGGTCAAGGTATTTACGTCTGACTTTGAAATATAATTGAAATTGGGTTTATTTTAAGAAAAACTATTCTTTAATTTGACAGCACTCTAACGTTCTGTCCAGCACTATCACAGGATATACACGTACATATCACAGCATCCTAAAACACACTCACTTAGTCACAAACTCATCAGAGAAGAGCAAACTTTTCCTAAAACAATAACAAACCAAACAGTACAAAGGGAATGGCGGCCTCTGTGTGATGTTTCCTTGTCTCGTTGTTTCGCCTCGATCACCACCTGATACATTTGACTAAAAAACAAGGGGAAGCAACACGAGGATCATGATAATTCATTTTCAAATATGAAAACGGATTTTGCGATTGTCAAAGAAAACGCAATATAGTTTTTATTTTTTTTACTCTCAAGATTTCAATGTAAGTTGATTATGTGGACAAGTAGGAAGCTGAACAGTTTCACTGACATTTGTACGGGAAGCTGTTTTGTATACTTACAGGGTGGAACGCAGCAAATCTCGAAACTTTTAGCGGAGAAAGTCGGGACAGACAATGTTCTGTTAAATCATGCTGTTGAGAAGGTGACACAGGTAATAAAGGAGATGTGTGTAAAAAAAGGTGTGCCTTCACGTGCACGTGTGCGTTTAGGGTTTGATTCACATGTATGTATGTATGAATATTCGGCCGTTGGATACTGATATGGAATTACAAAAATGCAGTCAGTACAGTTTATCATTTTAAATGAGAAATATGCTAAAATAACGGTAACGCTGAAATATGCATATATATATATATATATATATTTAAAAAAATCCTTTACACATATTTCATTGATAACGAACGCTTATTAATGTCATGTCAATATGCTGCGAATGACAACGTTATCTCCCCTTCTATTATGTATGACGTCATAATGTCGTTAAAAAGACATTATAATTAATGTATCGACTGAAGAAGGCCGTTAGGCATGAAAACGTTAGCGGAATACATTTATCGTGTTGATATATTTTTTCAAATATATATTTATATGTATATCTATATTTATTTATATATATATATGGGTGTTTACAAGAAGATAGAGATGAGTGTAAAAAAGACACGCGTGAATAACATTTTTTATTTCAATGTTAGATAAGATACAGTAAAGCCCATTACACTGCATCGTATAGCTGTTTTCTCCTTCAATTATTTGTCAGTAATACTAAGGGACTGGATTCTAAACATAGATGGCGACAGAGGAAAATCAGTGTGTCGATATGATACTTTTATATCAAAACGAAATCATGTTTAGTTTCGATGTGTGTCAGAAAAGTGCTTTTATAAAAAATCTACTTGAAATCCGATGTATTCTTTATATTTGTTATATCTCGCCATTTTTCAGAATGAAGAAAGCGTTCTATTGGAATGTAAAAACGGCTTGACAGTGAGTTGTCAGCGAGCAGTGATTGCCACGCCCCCTATGGTTACTCGTAAGTAGACCGGAAGTTGATCTCTATGTAGATACACATGGCAGTTTATCAAGTTGTACGAGAAAATGTGTTATAATTTATCATCCAGAGTTACGTACACAAGAGTTCAAATTATTGAATAATATCATGTATTTTTTTTTTATATTTTTCAGGGAAGATAGACTTTGTGCCACTCCTGTCATTACAACGACGTGAGATAGAAAAATGGATGCCTTTTGGGAACTACATTAAAGTAATATCGACATACAGAGAGGTACGATATTGTGTAACACCGACTATAATGTGTATACCGTGCAACATCGTGTATACTGTGTAACACCGTGTATACTGTGTAATACCGTGTATACTGTGTAACACCGTGTATACTGTGTAATACCGTGTATAGTGTGTAACACCGTGTATACTGTCACACCGTGTATACTGTGTAACATCGTGTATACTTTGTAACACCGTGTATACTGTGTAACACCGTGTATACTGTGTAACATCGTGTATACTGTCACACCGTGTATAGTGTGTAACACCGTGTATATAGAGTGTATACTGTGTAACACCGTGTATACTGTGTAACACCGTGTATATGAGAGACGGTATATTGGTTAATATTTCGAGATCTGTGAATATTTGAACTCTACAGTGAATACTATTTCTAATAACGGACGACAGGGATACGATTTAGCGAAAAAAGCTGTTATAATTCTTTGTCTAGAAGTGCCTTCCTCTATAGCAAGCGATTCCCTCACTTTCTACTATAAAATGATTCTGTTTTATTTTATCAAAATTATACTGGAATAACAGTGTGTAACAGAAATAAAAACTAAAACCATACCCAGCTTTGATATATTACATTCTTAAGGACATCAAGAACTTCATTAATTTTGTAAAGTAAAACGGATTTGTAGAAAGAATAACAAGAAAATATGAACACAGGCGTTCTGGAAGTCTAACGGTCAATCTGGGGAAGCAGTGACGTATGGCGGACCCAGTGACGCAAGCGGATGTGACGTAGGCCCACTTTCCATAGTTTTCGATGCCACAACTCCAACAGGAAATCCTGCACTAGTGTCTTTCTTATCGGGAGATCAAGCCATACAGTGGGGCAGACAGGATGTAAGTATTTATACCTGTTAGCTACATCTTGTACAGTGGGGCAGACAGGCTGTGAGTATTTATAGCAGCTAGTTACATCTTGTACAGTGGGGCAGACATGATGTAAGTATTAATACCTGTTAGCTACTCTTGTACAGTGGGACAGACAGGATGTAAGTGTTTATACCTGTTAGCTACATCTTGTACAGTGGGACAGACAGGATGTAAGTATTTATACCTGTTAGCTACATCTTGTACAGTGGGAAAGACAGGATGTAGGTGTTTATATACATCCAGACAGGATGTAAGTATTTATACCTGTTAGCTACATCTTGTACAGTGGGGCAGACAGGATGTAGGTGTTTATACTAGATAGTTACATCTTGTACAGTGGGGCAGACATGATGTAAGTATTTATACCTGTTAGCTACATCTTGTATAGTGGGACAGACAGGATGTGAGTATTTATACCTGTTAGCTACATCTTGTACTGTGGGACAGACAGGATGTAGGTGTTTATACCTGTTAGCTACATCTTGTACAGTGGGATAGACAGGATGTAAGTGTTTATACTAGATAGTTACATCTTGTACAGTGGGACAGACATGATGTAAGTGTTTATACCTGTTAGCTACATCTTGTACAGTGGGACAGACAGGATGTAAGTATTTATACCAGTTAGCTACATCTTGTACAGTGGGACAGACAGGATGTGAGTATTTATACCTGTTAGCTACATCTTGTACAGTGGGACAGACAGGATGTAAGTGTTTATACTAGATAGTTACATCTTGTACAGTGGGACAGACATGATGTAAGTATTTATACCTGTTAGCTACATCATGTACAGTGGGACAAACAGGATGTAAGTATTTATACCTGTTAGCTACATCTTGTACAGTGGGAAAGACAGGATGTAGGTGTTTATACCTGTTAGCTACATCTTGTACAGTGGGAAAGACAGGATGTAGGTGTTTATACCTGTTAGCTACATCTTGTACAGTGGGAAAGACAGGATGTAGGTGTTTATACCTGTTAGCTACATCTTGTACAGTGGGACAGACAGGATGTAAGTATTTATACCTGTTAGCTACATCTTGTACAGTGGGACAGACAGGATGTAAGTATTTATACCTGTTAGCTACATCTTGTACAGTGGGACAGACAGGATGTAAGTATTTATACCTGTTAGCTACATCTTGTGCAGTAGGGCAGACATGATGTAAGTATTTATACCTGTTAGCTACATCTTGTACAGAGGGACAGACAGGATGTAAGTATCTATACCTGTTAGCTACATCTTGTGCAGTGGGGCAGACATGATGTAAGTATTTATACCTGTTAGCTACATCTTGTACAGTGGGGCAGACAGGATGTAGGTGTTTATACTAGATAGTTACATCTTGTACAGTGGGAAAGACAGGATGTAGGTGTTTATACCTGTTAGCTACATCTTGTACAGTGGGACAGACAGGATGTAAGTATTTATACCTGTTAGCTACATCTTGTACAGTGGGACAGACAGGATGTAAGTATTTATACCTGTTAGCTACATCTTGTACAGTGGGACAGACAGGATGTAAGTATTTATACCTGTTAGCTACATCTTGTGCAGTAGGGCAGACATGATGTAAGTATCTATACCTGTTAGCTACATCTTGTACAGTGGGACAGCAGACATGATGTAAGTATTTATACCTGTTAGCTACATCTTTTACAGTGGGGCAGACAGGATGTAGGTGTTTATACTAGATAGTTACATCTTGTACAGTGGGAAAGACAGGATGTAGGTGTTTATACCTGTTAGCTACATCTTGTACAGTGGGACAGACAGGATGTAAGTATTTATAACTGTTAGCTACATCTTGTACAGTGGGACAGACAGGATGTGAGTATTTATACCTGTTAGCTACATCTTGTACAGAGGGACAGACATGATGTAAGTATTTATACCTGTTAGCTACATCTTGTGCAGTAGGGCAGACATGATGTAAGTATTTATACCTGTTAGCTATATCTTGTACAGTGGGGCAGACAGTGGGGCAGACATGATGTAAGTATTTATACCTGTTAGCTACTCTTGTACAGTGGGACAGACATGATGTAAGTATCTATACCTGTTAGCTACATCTTGTACAGTGGGGCAGACAGGATGTAGGTGTTTATACTAGATAGTTACATCTCTTTTTTTTTTCTAAAAATTCCTACATTTCGCACATACATCTATAATATCCGACATGTTTTTGCAGTAGGAATGGTTCGTGTAGTTCTATTACACTAAGAAGTTGTCTCACTATCCGCCATTTACTTAGTCTCCTACCCCTACAGAAAGGAAGGTTTCGTCCTTGTCTTCAACTTACAGGATATCACAGAGACCAGCTGACTACATTACAACACTTGGGATCTTAACCTTTCCTGTTTGTTGTTTCTTTTTCTACTTTGTTTCCAATCCATTGCGTCTCTCATGACTTGTGAGGACGTTTCACTCCGTCAAAACAAATAAATATAGCTTCTATTTCACTGATTCAGGCCAAAACCAGAAAAGCGGCTGTATTGAAGTCTTTAGGAGATTTTTTCGGACCGGAAGCAAAAAATTGTCTGGATTACATTGAGAAGGACTGGAGTGAGGAGTCGTACATTGAGGGTGCTGTTGCAGCCGTTAGTACTGGAGCTATGCGGAACTTCGCTTCCGGTCTTCGGGAACCGCAGGGAAGGTACTTTCTCAAAAAATGTGTTTGTCAGTTGTATAGAAATCTTAATGTAATATAAACCAGTGGAGATATACTGTGTCTGTCAAAGTTGACGTAAAGTAGACACTAGAACGTTTGAAAGAACCGGCGTTGTTAAGTTAAGAAACAGGAAATTGGGCAGCTCAAAACTTTTATCTAAATTCTATTTGTATTATGTAGCGTCCTTAACCGGTTTTCCTTCAGGTTACACTTTGCCGGAGCTGAGAGTGCCTACCAATGGCAGGGATACATGTCCGGCGGGGTGCAGGCGGGAATTCGAGCTGCTACTGAAGTCTTATATAAACTCCGACCAAATACCATCTCAAGTACGGAACTGTCTGGTACCGCTTATGATCCTAACTACAGGACACCTCACCACCTCAGACAAAACGTGAAACAATCTACCATGACTCGGGCTTTGATCCTAGCAGTTTTAGTGGGTTTGGTGGCGCTGCTGTACCGGAAGTTCGTTGGTGGAGATTAGCACAGACTTCTGAACTTATCGTTATTTACCAGTTATTCAAGAAATGGTGTTGAGTTAATTCAGGTAACAGAACTGGGACGTTCGTTTTTTATGAAGAATTAACAATGCCATAAGCTGACTAACCTAATCAACAAGTGGTCGTGTGATTGATGACTGTCGTTCTGACCTCGTGGTGTCGCTGTGTCGTCATTGGGAATTATGTATAATAATACATTACATTACAATCTAACTTGGGTTCTCTCTCAAACAGACTTTCTTTAGTGTTTGTGTTTGCTTCCCATACATTCTTATGTATTTGCCTCTCACACAGACGTTCATTAGTATTTGCCTCTCACACAGACGTTCATTAGAGTTTGCCTCTCACACAGACGTTCTTTAATGTTTGCCTCTCACACAGACGTTGTTTAGTGTTTGTGTGTTTGCCTCTCACACAGACGTTGTTTAGTGTTTGTGTGTTTGCCTCTCACACAGACGTTCTTTAGTGTTAGTGTGTTTGCCTCTCACTCAGACGTTCTTTAGTGTTTGCCTCTCACACAGACGTTGTTTAGTGTTTGTGTGTTTGCCTCTCACACAGACGTTGTTTAGTGTTTGTGTGTTTGCCTCTCACACAGACGTTGTTTAGTGTTTGTGTGTTTGCATCTCACACAGACGTTCTTTAGTGTTTGCCTCTCACACAGACGTTGTTTAGTGTTTGCCTCTCACACAGACGTTGTTTAGTGTTAGTATGTTTGCCTCTCACACAGACGTTGTTTAGTGTTTGTGTGTTTGCCTCTCACACAGACGTTGTTTAGTGTTTGTGTGTTTGCCTCTCACACAGACGTTGTTTAGTGTTTGTCTCTCACACAGACGTTCTTTAGTGTTTGTGTGTTTGGTCCTCACACAGACGTTCTTTAGTGTTTGTGTGTTTGCCTCTCACACAGACGTTCTTCAGTGTTTGTGTGTTTGCCTCTCACTCAGACGTTCTTTAGTGTTTGCCTCTCACACAGACGTTGTTTAGTGTTTGTGTGTTTGCCTCTCACACAGACGTTCTTTAGTGTTTGTGTGTTTGCCTCTCACACAGACGTTCTTTAGTGTTTGCCTCTCACACAGACGTTGTTTAGTGTTTGTGTGTTTGCCTCTCACACAGACGTTGTTTAGTGTTTGTGTGTTTGCATCTCACACAGACGTTGTTTAGTGTTTGTGTGTTTGCCTCTCACACAGACGTTCTTCAGTGTTTGTGTGTTTGCTTCTCACACAGACGTTGTTTAGTGTTTGTGTGTTTGCCTCTCACACAGACGTTGTTTAGTGTTTGTGTGTTTGCCTCTCACACAGACGGTGTTTAGTGTTTTTGTGTTTGCCTCTCACACAGACGTTGTTTAGTGTTTGTGTGTTTGCCTCTCACACAGACGTTCTTTAGTGTTTGTGTGTTTGCCTCTCACACAGACGTTGTTTAGTGTTCGTGTGTTTGCCTCTCACACAGACGTTGTTTAGTGTTTGTGTGTTTGCCTCTCACACAGACATTCTTTAGTGTTTGTGTGTTTGCCTCTCACACAGACGTTCTTTAGTGTTTGTGTGTTTACCTATCACACAGACGTTATTTAGTGTTTGCCTCTCACACAGACGTTCTTTAGTGTTTGCCTCTCACACAGACGTTCTTCAGTGTTTGTGTGTTTGCCTCTCACACAGACGTTCTTTAGTGTTTGTGTGTTTGCCTCTCACACAGACGTTCTTTAGTGTTTGCCTCTCACACAGACGTTCTTCAGTGTTTGTGTGTTTGCCTCTCACACAGACGTTGTTTAGTGTTTGCCTCTCACACAGACGTTCTTTAGTGTTTGTGTGTTTGCCTCTCACACAGACGTTCTTCAGTGTTTGTGTGTTTGCCTCTCACTCAGACGTTCTTTAGTGTTTGCCTCTCACACAGACGTTCTTTAGAGTTTGCCTCTCACACAGACGTTCTTTAGTGTTTGTGTGTTTGCCTCTCACACAGACGTTGTTTAGTGTTTGTCTCTAGAGTGTGTGTGTGTTTGCCTCTCACACAGACGTTCTTTAGTGTTTGTGTGTTGCCTCTCACACAGACGTTGTTTAGTGTTTGTGTGTTTGCCTCTCACACAGACGTTGTTTAGTGTTTGTGTGTTTGCCTCTCACACAGACGTTGTTTAGTGTTTGTGTGTTTGCCTCTCACACAGACGTTCTTCAGTGTTTGTGTGTTTGCCTCTCACACAGACGTTGTTTAGTGTTTGTGTGTTTGCCTCTCACACAGACGTTGTTTAGTGTTTGTGTGTTTGCCTCTTACACAGACGTTCTTTAGTGTTTGTGTGTTTGCCTCTCACACTGACGTTCTTCAGTGTTTGTGTGTTTGCCTCTCACACAGACGTTGTTTAGTGTTTGTGTGTTTGCCTCTCACACAGACGTTGTTTAGTGTTTGTGTGTTTGCCTCTCACACAGACGTTGTTTAGTGTTTGTGTGTTTGCCTCTCACACAGACGTTCTTTAGTGTTGATGTGTTTGCCTCTCACACAGACGTTGTTTAGTGTTTGTGTGTTTGCCTCTCACACAGACGTTGTTTAGTGTTTGTGTGTTTGCCTCTCACACAGACGTTCTTCAGTGTTTGTGTGTTTGCCTCTCACACAGACGTTGTTTAGTGTTTGTGTGTTTGCCTCTCACACAGACGTTGTTTAGTGTTTGTGTGTTTGCCTCTTACACAGACGTTCTTTAGTGTTGATGTGTTTGCCTCTCACACAGACGTTGTTTAGTGTTTGTGTGTTTGCCTCTCACACAGACGTTGTTTAGTGTTTGTGTGTTTGCCTCTTACACAGACGTTCTTAAGTGTTTGTATGTTTGCCTCTCACACAGACGTTGTTTAGTGTTTGTGTGTTTGCCTCTTACACAGACGTTGTTTAGTGTTTGTGTGTTTGCCTCTCACACAGACATTCTTTAGTGTTTGCCTCTCACACAGACGTTGTTTAGTGTATGGATTTGTTAGATTACGTATGTTTCAGTGCCATATTTAAAATAATTTTGAATACTGGCACGGTTCCTAAAATACACCTCACTGCACTTAATGTACTTAACGTTGTGTTGAAATTATCTGATATACGAAAGTGATGTTATTTACTTCCACTCATAATTTGATATTTCTATCGAGCACATCGGGTTGCACTAAGTATTCTCCAAGGTTTACAAATCAGGCCATTATCACTGACGAGTTACAGAAGGACGACACAACTGTTGTAAGATGCAGTTTAAAACAAGGAATAAATCTGCATCATACAGCTGTTTTGTTCTTCTATAACTCAGAAGCGGGTCGTGCCCTTTGAACGGACAAGATAAAAATCAAGATATCGAAGGAATGGTATTGTTATGTATATCTTCATATAAAGATGTTTATGAATCCTCGGAGGGATTATCATGTCTTTATTCAAATGACACAAGTGTATATAAAACATCTCATTGCAAATCTACTTGATTTCGATAATTTCATAAACAGTCTTTCAGATTACATTTGGCCAAGACTGAAAGTGTAACACAGTTGCTCGGATATATGTTGGGTGCAGGGCGGTATACAATCTGCCACTAAAGTCCGACCAGGCGCCCTCTCCAGTTTGGAAGTGCCCGGTACAGTTAACAATTCTTTATACAGGGAACACCACCATCTAAAACAAATTAACAAAGCATACATTATCCGCCGTTTGGTTACAGCACGTTTAGTCTATGTGATGGCTCTACAACACTGGGAATTCGTATTGGTATTTTAAAGTATTGAAACATTGTTGGAAAAAATCATCAGATTGTGGAAGCGTTAGGTGTCTAACTGTAGTAGGACGCTGAGGTTATTACAGAGAAAACCATGCATTTCAACAAATCGCCCCATACAATTTTATGATCGATTTGTAATTATAATGCCACTTACTTAGGTAAAAACATGATAACAATGACTCTGTCGCTACCTCGCAACATATACTTAAACAATGAACTACGTTCAGCTTGATGGATGTTAATGATGGATGTTAATGGAAAACAGCTCAATGCGTGTATCTTCTTACTTCTTACGTTACCTAACTTGAAACACATTTTTATTTTGCATTGGAATTGAAATTTCCCGCGCTCCCAGTGGTATTTATGTTATGCTAGCAATTTCGTTACAGTGGATATATAGTGTCGGAGTGTCAGATCCAGTAGTTGGTGAACATCCACATACTGTCACCAGTGTAATTGTACATATACCAATATCTTATGACACGTACCTAATAACACCTAGCGGATCTGTGATTGGTTAAAGAATCCCATTGTGACGTCATAGTCTTTATCATCGAGTGACCAAAGAAAAGATAATCTTGTTTACTGCATTTCTGATGACAGTGCTTAACTATTGACTTTGTCATAATTAGATATGCCATGTTTAACAACGAATACTACACTGTCATGAGGGTTTAAAGGAAAGCGTCTTCAATAAAATCTGAGATAGAAAGTCTGTACTTTTTCTCTATCGTAAATATACCACAGGCCATTAGTATGTGTTGATATTTGTTGATTTGATCAATTTTCCACGGCAGGTGCTATTCACTTTTACGTCTTCTGTACAATATTCGAATGTTTTTATATAGAGGTCTATGTCAACGATCAGACAAATATTCCATTATGAAGAAATTCAAACATTCAAATGTAATATAGGTTACATTAACACAATAATCGTAAAATCTCATTCGTTTCAAATATGGTTTTCTGCTGGTAGAATTATTTTTTAATTGGAATAATTTCATGATCTAGCCACTGATGTTTTCGTTAAACGTCATTACGTTGTGGTAACAATCATTCTAGGTGTCATCTTGCATATGATTGACGTTGAAAATGGTGAAATTTATCAGAACAACTTTAAATAACATTGAATTGCCCTTTGTAGAGTTCATGACCGTCTTAGTGACATGTTGAACTAGGTTAATGTTAAGAAATGTGAACGAATCTAGGTTGATATATAATGTAATATTTTTATATTTGATTTATCACTAGATTTGTTAAGTATAA